CCCACGTATGTTGCCCAGGAAGCAACCCGCGCCTCCTGATGAAAGTGGTCAAGAGGGAGCAGAAGGCAGAGTGCCAGCACCTCCTGCTGAGGTGCCGGTGGAGCCGGAGCCTGATAATCACGTGGAGGCCGCGGAAGGCAGAGTGCCAGCCCCTCCTGCTGAGATGCCGGAGGTGCCTGCTGCAATCCCTGTCCCAGAGCCTGATGATCACGTGGAGCCCGAGGAAGGCAGAGTGCCAGCCCCTCCTGCTGAGATGCCGGAGGTGCCTGCAGTGCCTATCCCAGCACTCGAGCCACGGGAGGTTGCAGTCCGTGGCCCCCAACATCAGCGGCGGCCGAACCGTGTTGACTACCAAGGGGTATGGACACCTGTTCAATGCCCGGAGTGTCCCAAGATCGCTGGTGAGATGAAGTACGACCCGAATCCTGGTGGCACTGACAAAGCAAAATGGTTTCTCCGAGTTCGTGTGACAGACGGCGGTCTCTTGGAAAGATTCGGAACATTTGTTATAGCTTCGATGTGGTTGCCTGATCTGCTGTGTGTTGTGTCACATTACATGAACCCATGTGTGTCTGGCATTGAAGGCGAGTGGAGCCACCTCGTACCCTATCACTGGGGACGTGTGGCTTCCAAGATGACAGAAGCGCAGGCCAGACAACACGTCATTGACCATAGGCCCTGTTGTGGCCCGACCAGGAGGCCTGGCAACAACTAGAGGATTCATCCTGCGCTGCAAAGAAAAGTTGTGTGTCTGTCTGTGTGCTTGCATTGATGGCAGCGGGTCCTGCTAGATTGGAATGCGTCCGAGAGACTGTGTGTTTCTGCTTGGGGAAGACGGATTGCGAAAGCATGTTCGCATTTTCACACATGTGGAATTTGTCACGTGCAAGCACATGGACAATCATTTCGAGTGCCACAACCCGGAAGCCGCACAAACTAGCACATGTGGTTTGAAGCCGTGCGTGCTTGTGACTGAACAGTAGCCGTCCAGAGCAATGCATTTCGCCCCGATCGAACGAGGAGAGTGTTTCTTCAGAGGCGAGCTCTCCCCAATCTTGATCAAAACCGCTTGCGAAAAATTGGCCAAAGCGCCTGACCAGTGGAAACCAGCTGAGAGATGGAATGAAGTTTATGACGACGTGCCTTGGGAAATCATGGTTCGCTACCTGCGTTACTGGCCACGTATTGGCTCCCGCATTACAGGAGGCCTCAGGCTTCTTCGACGGTACCAAGGCCCCTTCCCGAAGTGTTATCAGGTGGGTGAAGGAGAAGAACCGCTGGAGTTGCCGCGCGTTTCTCTCGTTTGTGATTTTGTTTATGTTTGGAACGACGAAGATGAACAACAACGGCAGTTTGTCCTTCAGATGAAACACCTCTCACTTGTTGCCATCCGTCTCGGTGGTCCGGGGGAACTTCCTGACCTTGATGCTGGAGCAATACCTTTGACCGACCAGCTTTGTGCAAAGTTGGGGTGGCAATAATTAATGGATCTTGAGGCGGGAAGGCAGAGTGCCAGCAGCTGGGAAGGCAGAGTGCCAGACGTTGTCGCGTCACCCAGCTGTACCCTGCTTCGCCTGCACGTGATTCGCTTGACAGTGTGGTCAACGCAGAAAAGCGCAACATCCAGCAGTTCGTAGCCACTTCACGCGATTTGTGCATCCCTAATACTATCAAACCCTAAAACTATGGCACTCTGCCTTCTAGCCCCAAACCCTAAATACTAAAGACCCTGAAACTCTAACCCTAACCCTTTCATTACCCTCAAACCCTAACACTATGGCACTCTGCCTCCTAACCCCAAACCCTAAATATACTAAAGACCCTGAAACTCTAACCCTAACCCTTTCATTACCCTCAAACCCCTAATACTATGGCACTCTGCCTTCTAACCCCAAACCCTAAATATACTAAAGACCCTGAAACTCTAACCCTAACCCTTTCATTACCCTCAAACCCCTAATACTATGGCACTCTGCCTTCTAACCCCAAACCCTAAATACTAAAGACCCTGAAACTCTAACCCTAACCCTTTCATTACCCTCAAACCCCTAATACTATGGCACTCTGCCTTCTAACCCCAAACCCTAAATATAATAAAGACCCTGAAACTCTAACCCTAACCCTTTCATTACCCTCAAACCCCTAATACTATGGCACTCTGCCTTCTAACCCCAAACCCTAAATATAATAAAGACCCTGAAACTCTAACCCTAACCCTTTCATTACCCTCAAACCCCTAATACTATGGCACTCTGCCTTCTAACCCCAAACCCTAAATATAATAAAGACCCTGAAACTCTAACCCTAACCCTTTCATTACCCTCAAACCCCTAATACTATGGCACTCTGCCTTCTAACCCCAAACCCTAAAGACCCTGAAACTGTAAACCCTGTGCCAGGTCTTCTTCATCCTCGTCTTCTCGGAAAAAACATTAGTTTTTTTTGTTTTAAAGTTTTTAAAAATTTTTAAAAGTTGTTTAAAGTCTTTAAAAGTCTTTCAAATTCTTTTTAAAGTTTGTAAAAGCTTTTAAAAGCGTTTAAAAGTCTTTTAAAGTATTTTTAAAGCTTTTAAATGTATTTTAATGTTTTTAAAAGTCTTTTAAATATTTTAAAAGCCTTTTAAAGTTTTGAAAAGTCTTTTAAAGTTTGCAAAAGTCTTCTAAAAGTTTCTAAAAGACTTTTAAAGTCTTCTAAAAGTTTTTAGAATGTTTTTTCTTGCATTTGAAAGTTTTTAAAAGTCTGTAAACGTCTTTAAAAGCCAACTCTGTCGAAAAAGCCCTGTGGATCTAAACCTTGTGGTTCTGGTTCGGTGCAAAAGGGCAATGATGGTTGCTGCGCAAGATGCACTGTCAGGGCTGCATGGCTCCATTAGCGAAGACAGGGACATGGACGCTGCTATACGGCGATTCAGATTTTGCTGCAATGGCATTTCATGGCAAGCCACACAAGTACGTCACGCACCATGTCACGACCCTCTAGAAACGTCATATCACGAGCCTCTAGAAACGTCATTACTCGAGTCGGTGGATGGAGGAAATCTTGCACCACCTACACATCTTGTTTCGAATACACATCCAAGCAACAACCCCGCGCCCCCTTCTTAACATTGACGACAGACCTCTTGGGGCGGTGCAAGATTTATGTCATTGGAACGATTTTGTAAATCCCCGTGTTCATAGCAATGTTAAGAAGGAGGCGCGGGGTGAAGCTAACTAACATATCTTAAAAGTGGTGCAAGATTTCCTCCATCCACAGTCCCCAGAGCGGGGTCTAGCTTTGGCCTGCTCGTGGCTTTCCTACATGGCTTGCAGATACTTCCAGTCAGGGCAACGTTGCATAGAAGTCACAGTCAACGTTCAGTTAACGTTCAGTCAACGTTACAGTCAACGTTCCAGTTAACGTTGCGAAAATGCTGGCAGGGGCAGCATTTTGGAGTTTTCAAGCAGCATTTTGGAGTTTTCAAGCATAAAAAGCAAGAAATACATGTATTTCTTGCTTTTTATGCTTGAAAACTCCAAAATGCTGCCCCTGCCAGCATTTTCGCAACGTTAACTGGAACGTTGACTGTAACGTTGACTGAACGTTAACTGAACGTTGACTGTACGTTAACTGCAAATTCCTACCAAATGTAGCAAAGTTGTGGAATTCTTGCGATTTTAGAATGACCTGGCTGCTGCGCAAGATGCACTGTCAGGGCTGCATGGCTCCATTAGCGAAGACAGGGACATGGACGCTGCTATACGGCGATTCAGATTTTGCTGCAATGGCATTTCATGGCAAGCCACACAAGTACGTCACGCACCATGTCACGACCCTCTAGAAACGTCATATCACGAGCCTCTAGAAACGTCATTACTCGAGTCGGTGGATGGAGGAAATCTTGCACCACCTACACATCTTGTTTCGAATACACATCCAAGCAACAACCCCGCGCCCCCTTCTTAACATTGACGACAGACCTCTTGGGGCGGTGCAAGATTTATGTCATTGGAACGATTTTGTAAATCCCCGTGTTCATAGCAATGTTAAGAAGGAGGCGCGGGGTGAAGCTAACTAACATATCTTAAAAGTGGTGCAAGATTTCCTCCATCCACAGTACTACTGCTACTGCTACTCATGCCACTACAGCTAGTGCCGCTACCGCTTCAACTCCAACTGCGATGGGTTTTGCCAGTTTCAAGTGTTGCTTGACTCTGATGGCTCCCGGTTGCCATTACGAGGTTGGGAGCACGGGAACCCATGACTCAATTCGGTGTTTGCGTTCCAGATCGCGACAAAAGCCTTGGTCACCGATTTATTCCCTCAGTCTAGCCCATGACAGCACTTCAACTGGACCTGGGTCCCCCAGGCTTGACAGGTTCATGGTGTTGGGTTTGAGATTGTTTGGATTTTGGGGGTCTGGGGTTTGTTGCGGTCAGACTTGGAGTTTGGCGTGTAGAGTTGGTATTGTATGTACGGGGTTTAAGATATGAAGGTTGGCTTCTTGAGCTCCAGGTTTCTACCCTGCCAATCCCTAGATGCACGATGCCTCCGGGCAACACCCTACTCATACTGAGCACCTCGCGCCTCTGTCCAAGCAAGTGTGTTTTAGGAGCCCGGCTCGGGCAGGTCGAAGACAGCTGGGACAAGGAGGAGGCCATGGCAGATCCTGGAAAGCTTTCTTCTTTGAGATATTTCGTTTTGGGCATTTAGGCTTTGGGGCTTATGATTATGCCAGCTTTAGCACAGGCTTGGCGAGTGTTTAGCAGCACCGAACCACCTAGAAGAAGGCCCGGGTACATATTGTGAACACGCACAGGCCAGTCTTCGGGCGCAGCATAGAAGACTCGTGAACAAATCCTTCAGCGTGAATCCCATGGAAACGAAGCCATAGTTGTTGTTTTAAAGGGAACTCCAGAAAGTTGGAATATGGTTTCAGGGTAGGATACCCTGTAATTTATCATAGAAGGGCTAGGATAATGATATTCCAACTTTCTGGCTTCTACTGTAAGCTCTGCTAGGCCCGGCTTTGTGCCGGACATCTCGCCTTGGAGAAGCGGGCCGCGGGCCTTAGCAATGGGAGCCGGGGGCGCTGGCGGGGCATGTCTTTCCTCCAGGCCCAAACCCAGAACCCTAAGCCCTAAACAACCCAGACCCCAAACAGCCACTGAACTCTAAAAACGTTGCGACTTGGACTTCTCACCAAAGCACCGGCAACACTGGTTGTTGTAGCACTTTCTTTTTCTGCTGCTGCTGGCTTCTTGCATCGTAGGTCGTAGGGTGCATGAAGCAATCAAAGTAAAAGATCATCAGATCGACGAACCTTCGGGATCATTGTCTTGACAGCCCCTATGCAGCCATATGTCAAACTAGCCACCTGCACGCGCGATGTGAAACCTATTGTGGAAAATGAAAACGCTCCAGACATCTCCAGACACTCCCCTAGGTGGCAATTTGGGAAACTGTTTAATTTCCCTTATGGTTCCTATAGAGAAACCTATTCATAAATATTTTTCAGAGCCCCCCAGTCCATGGAGGCCCTAGACAGGCCTCTGTCTCGCCCCAGCAGGCTGAGTTCTTCGGGACGATCTCCGATGAAGTCGCCGAGGTGCTCGAACAACATCTATTTTTGGGGTGGGGAAAGGGGACCCAACCTGAGGAGTCGACCACATGTTCCATTCTGTTGGCATCAACTTGTCTTGTCGTTGGAACGTCAAAGGTTGTTGGACCGGCGAAGTCGAAACCCAAAAAGTTTTCAGCACAAACACGGTGGCAGGAAGGTGCCGTACTCCTGCAATCATGGAGTCGTCAAACGAAATCTGGAATCACCCAGCAGGAATACTGATTTACGACAGCTCAAGCCCCCAACCCTAAAGCCAGCAAGTCCACAATTATTGTAACGAGCTCCAAGCAGAAATCATGCCCTTGTCCAGGAGGTGTCCAAGCTGCAGGAATCCATCGAGAGGCCGATTCGCCGTTATCCCATTTGGGGTTTGAGGAAATGGAGTTTACGGACTGAAGTTTGGAGTCTGAACGCTTGGTTTCTGAGGAGGCGTCGAGGGTCAGCGTTTAAGATGCCAAAGGGTGCGTGAGTACTTGATAGATTTTAAGTATGATTCATGAGTCGTGGGTGATGTCGTGTTGATTCTTGATGTAAAGGGTCTGAGACTTGGGCTTCCGACTTATGTGTGTCCTGTGAGGCTGTGAGGCTGCGAGGTCTGTACTTCAAATCGTGTGGGCGGGTTTGGAGTTTAGGGGTGTAGGCTTTGGAGTTCTAAGAGGACGCGAAATTTGTCCCAATGTGTTACATCCCTCTGTCCTTCTGAGTCAAAATATCAAAACTTGCATTGACACCTAAACTCTTCCCCAGGTAGTTGTCACGGGCGGGACGAGTTTTGTTCTATGTGGTGCATGACTTAAGTGCAGGCATTGTTCGGCCTCATGTGAATGCGGCCCCTCATGTTACACCCTCAGACACATCAGAGCCCTCGCGCAGCCCGACCCTTACCTTCTGTGCCCAATCCTTGAACCAACGTATGCCCCACCCCCAAACCACCTAAAGTCCAAGCCCGATACAACAAAAAGCTAAAGACAAGCCTTAAACACATGTTCGGAATTCCAGGCCTTGAAACTTAAGTTCGAATATTTGTAGGAGTCGGTGGGCGCTGGAAGACAAGATGGCCCCTGCTGAGGTTGGTGAGGCACATGTATGGGATTCGGTCGCATAGGCATTCGGGTCAAGCGTTTTTGGCATGAAGGCTTTGCCTTTCGGCTTGCAGAGCTTATGAGTACCAGGTTGGAGTTGGGCTTGTAAGGAAGAGCTTCTGTGATATTGGTGATGGAGAGACAGTGATGATGATGAATGACGACGATGATGATGATGATGATGATGGGGGGGGGGGGTACTGTGCTACTGGCGCGTCCTTGGTTTCTTTGGGTCTGCAGCGGCAGTTCAGAATAGTCACTTTGGAGCAGAACCGGACGTGAAACAGATTTGGTTTGGTATTGGGTTTGTCGGTTTGTGGACTCGGCAATTCGGGTTGTACGACGTGCAGGTTTTGGAATTAACTCGTTTGTGTTACGGTGCAGGGGCTTGTTTTATCGAAGCTGTGGATCCGACTTTATGACTTAGACTTGAGGATTTCCACTATAGTTAGAGGCTATAGGGCTTGGGGGTTTCAGTCTAGTAAACAGAGTTGCGCGCTGAGGATCCAGAGGCCCGGAGCCCAAGGAGCCGAGGATGCACCTCGAACGCCCAAGCCCCCAACCGCAACGGCCTTAGTTTTGAATGCTGCAAGGCCTTCAAGCCAAAAGTCAGAAAGCTTAAAAGCTTGAAGATTTCAACGCTTAACTCCTGAACCCTGGTCGGAGGGTTTGGTGGACCCTCACAGGATCCAAGCCAGGGCGAGCCGTCAGATCCCTTCTTGGAGGTCGGGTTTCGGAGATTAGAGCTGGGGTGTGGGAGGTGAAGTTGCTTTTCAGGTGTTAGGATCTTAGCTTTGGGATTGTGATGTGGGTTCTGGGCTCAGGGTTTCGGGTTTAGGGACCGAAGAACCCTGGTTTCATGTATGCAGAAACATTGGCAGTCTTCAGGCAGAGTATGTGAGAATTACGCTTTGTAGCCTACCTGCCCCTCGCACTGGAGCTTGAGCCGTACATCTAAACCTACACGACAAACCAGGCGATGCTTCGATCATGTTTAGTAAGAGCTGGCCGCAATAATTCTGATGATATTGATGGTGATGCTTGGGGTGATGGTTGTGATGCTGATGACGATGAGGATGAGGATGATGTTTATGATGCTGATTGTGATGATGATGGTGATGATGATGACGATGATGATGATGATGATGAGGATGAGGATGAGGATGACGATGATGATAATCGTGCTGAGGATGGTGATGATGATGATGATGGTGATCACCGCTTGTGAGTTAAACTTTTAAACTGGGTGTTGGGCACTGATTTTGTCATGCTATATACTATCCCTGTCAGCCTTGAGGTGGTTGGACTCAAAGACCGTACTGGCCTTGTCTGGCAAACCCCAAAGTCCCAGAAACCGAATGGGCCATTACTCAACGTTAGCAGTCCCGCCCTGCTTCTCGCAACGATTCGGCACTTCTGCGTGTCCGTGCAAAGGGCTAGCTGCATGGCGTTGGCGACGTTTGCAAGTTCTCTGGACCCCAAAGCAATTGCGGGGTCATGGCATCACTATCATTCCTGTCCGTCGCAACCTCAACCCCCAACCTGCTTCCTAAGCAGCGTCTTAGGCAGATGACGGAGAGCTCGCTTCCTTCTTGGCCTTCCAGGTCTGGCCTGATGATTGCTGCAGAAACACAGGGGGGTCGGTTCATGAACATGTTCTCCGGTTTTTGGGCGGGGGATGTTTGTTAAAGTTCCAGAGCAGAGGGAGCCTAGCCTCTTGCGAAGTCCCGAGAAGAAAATTTCGGTTAAGCACGGAGACCACCCCTGAATTGTGAACTAGAAATCCCGAAACCCCCAACAATTTTAGTTTGTATTTTTGCTGAAACAATGTCCGAATTGTTAGGCTTTTGCAGGCCTAGTGGTATTGCTCTTTTGGAACCCCGATTTGTAAGTCATGCGGAGATTGGGAAGTTCATCTTGGCGTTCGGGCTTCACAAGATACTACTACAAGCATCTGAAGCTGCCGCGGTACGCCATGGTTTTTGTATGGACTGGAGGTTCACTGTTGCCTTTCTGGGTATCAGGGAAGTGTCTCGCACTGGGTTAGGGCGCGGGCTTAGGGTCTATAGCGTGCAGAGTTGAGGATTTCTGCTTTAAGAGTGTTGGGGCTTTCCGAAGCGAGCCTGCAGGACACTTCAAAATCCCCCACCGAACAATACTCGACAAGAGCACAGCACGGCCTCCAAAATCCAGCCCAAGCCCTTGTCAGTCTTAACTCTCCTTAACCGGAAACGCCCAGTCATATAACATTATTCCAAACCGTGTGCGAGACTCTCTCTCAGCCACCCAAACCTATTAATATAGGGCCCTATAATTAATAATTACCAATACTATTTTCGGGGTTCCCCATTATAACTCTATACAGTATAATGGGCACCAAAAACCTATTCTAAAGTATAGGCCCCTGTAGTAGTGCGCGCTGCGAGGAATCCGAGGCAGACCTTGTGAGGAATGCCTTGTCAGCTTTCCGCTCGCACAACGAAGCAGGCCCCGAGTTGCTCTTTCTGTTCGTGGCTTAGGGTTCAGGGCCAGGGTTTCTTTTGATCTGTTTCCGTCAAAGTTTCGTTCTTTTCCTCTGTGTCAAGTATCATTGAAAGTCGGGAGTCAGTGATGCTTTGCTGGTTCCCCCTTCTCCTGTTGGGAGGGTCCGATGCGAGACGACGTGATGCGGTTGGTGACACTATAGCGCAGGGTCTGCTGAAAGGTGAACATGTGATGTGGTACGGCTACGTCAATTTTTGCATTGTTCCCACGAGGGGTTCGCTGTTTGTTACACAGTCGCATCCACGGGTGTATCTAGGCAGAAAAAACAGAAAGACCGGCAGATAGATGGTGGACCGACTGCAGAGCATCGGGCAATGGATAGGTGGACGGGTAGATACCCACATCAAGCCATGTAGTCTTTGGGTGGTTTGTTATATGCGCGCAGAGGCGCATGCACCAGTAGCTACCTGCCGTCCTGCAGACCTACCTACTTACCAGCCTGCCAACCTAGCAACCTGCATACACGCCTGCATATGTACTACATTCGTACACGAACGTCCTTCGTTGGGCCCGGTAACCCCAAAAGCCTGCACACTTGCTGCCTGAAACCGCTTAGCTCGTGATCACAAAATAAACCACCAAGTACCAGTGCCGAAGCACATGAGCTGCAAATGCTGGATCCCCCAAACAAAAGCTTGAAGAACACCGGCCAGTCGTGCAACGATTCGCAGACGAGGGCGAACAGGCCAGAGAATGCCTCTGGGCTGACAGCCTCGATTCTGCAGTTTTGTGTTGTGTTTATGGGCTGTCGGCGAGTGTCAGATTTTCTGCGTGGGCGTGCAAGGTTCAGGGTACATATACAACTCGGCTAGCTGCACCAGTCGCCGGTCAACTGATGGGCACCACATAGACATCGTAGAACTCTCTGGACTCAGCTGCACTACCGATCCCAATGTTGCACTCGCAGGATGAAGCATGTACAAGCCATGGCAATTGAAGTCGAAGTCCTGCAAAAGACGCTAAACTCTGCGTCCGGGGAGTGTGAGATTCGAGCTCAATGCTGAGCATTGCTCGCTTCCGGCAGCGTCTCTGCCATTGCAGACGGACAGAATCTTTCTCAACCCGGATCAGATCCTTCTTCCGCGCTCGATACTGGTATGGGTAGCCGAAGCGCGCTGCTCACATCACTTGCGTCACGGCCAGGTTGGCGATGGGAACAGCCAAAGCCCCAAACCCTATACATCCCTATACACTCGGAGCCCTGATGGCCTAGTACCCAAATTTGCCCTCAACCCTGGACTTTTGGCCACCGACAGCCTACGTCAGTGTCTAAAGTTGTGCTCTCCAGCCGATCAGTCTCAGGTAATTCGATTGCCAAGCCTTCGGCACGAGCATCTTAACCCCAAACTGTAATCCCAGAATTTGAGGCAATTTCATGGTAACCCTTCTCCTGCATGGGAGATCAACCACAGGCACCTTCATGAGGACTGGCCAGGATGCTTAAAGCTTTTGTCATCCCATGGTGTGAGGGTGGTGGACACCCGTACGAACCGGCTTTGGAGATAGAAGGGCGGCCGGTGTCATTTCAAACGCACAGGCAAATTCGACCTTGCGAGCCCTTCCTACTGTCCAGTCATGTTCTTGCGCTCGGCAGGCAGAGGCGGAATTCAACCGAGAGATTCTCGAGGAGCACTGAGAATCACTACGATGTGAGAAGGATGGTTGCTATTGGGTCACTGATTGTAATCATCTTCGTCCTTTACGATGATTGCTGTTGTCATTACCATTCTCAGTAACACTCACAATCAAAAACAGTTCCTGTGGCCGTTGTCGGTCCCGGTGTGGAGACAAATCTTCCAGCGCTTGGGGTTTGATATTCATTGCAATAAGCTCTATGTATGTGTTTGCTGGTTTTTTATTTTCGATGACGTGACTGCAATGTTTATTTGGCCGTGTAGCAGGTGTTCTAGCTTGCGTGACCTGATTTGGTTCGTCAAAGGACTACTTGACAGTCACTGTGATGTTTGAAACTGCCTACCATGAGATTGACTGCAAGCGCATCGTACAACCGAAGACTTTCGTTCGGATGGTTCACGGCTAGCGAGTTTTCATCTCTGGCCGATTCGCAGTAGCGTCGCCAGTGGTGGTTCTCACTATGGTGAATGCGGGTCACAATCTCGAAGATGAGATGACTCATCCTTCGACGCTGCAGGTCCACGTTTGCAAGATTGACTGATTCCGGGCCTCGTTATGAATATCATGGAGAAGAGTTGCTCATTGTATGTGGGAGTGCTTGAGCCACCGTTTTGCGTGCCGTGTCGGCCTGACCTATTCTGCCCTTCCTATCAAGGCATACCAGTACATAGTATTTAAGGCACTCTTTCAAGTCTTCAGGGCTGGATTCAAGGAAGCCTGTTTGCACTATCCAAAGCAGTTCTCCTGATACTGCGTTCGTAGTTGGGTTTCCCAGACGTCGAGCCCCAAAGTTTCCCGAATCCTACATTCCCAGAAGAATGACCCCAAATCGTACCCAGCATCGAGGAGCTGGAGACGAAGAAGGTCATGAGAGACGTTCGGCTAAGCGAGTTGAAGGCCGCAGGGATCAGTTCGAAGCACTCTGAGCATGAAACGGTTCAAGGTTTGATCCTGACAGGCTTTAGGGTTGGTGTGGTTGGGGTTTAGGTTTTAGGGTTTAGGATTTAGAGAGTTCGGGGTCTATAGGGCTGATACGTTAGTGCGTAACTGGGAAAGGGAGCTTGGGCTTTATAGGTTTATGGTGTGCAGTAGAAGCTACAAAGTTGGAACATTGGTTCATTGGAATGCCCTGACACGGAACATTAGAGACATTGGACGAGAAGTAATTACACTAGTTCTCTCAACCCTGCCTTGGGAATACATGCGCAAATCAAATTACATGGCTTTCCTTGCGACCTGGCAGGAACGGCGCAATTCGATGGTTGCCGCGTGCCTGCAGGTCATTTCACGGGTCCGTTTGTTACACAGACCCTACAAGTCATAACCCAATGACAACACCAGCGCAGTGTGTGCATACCCATCGGTGTCAAGGCATTCGAACATGCCATGGTAAGCTCGTACTGGCTTATCATTAGAACTCAAGATCAACCCAATGTCATGGCTGGGAATAGGGTATTCCTACTTTGGAAGCTAGAGAGCATTTTCCACGTTCATTGCATCTGGGGCGGTCGTGCCAGCTGGTGGATGAGGAGTGGAAAAGACGACGAGGACGAGGACAACGACGACGAACTTTTCACATGCATACCACAATCACAACATGTCTCAAGCCTTTTTCCTGGTTCTGCTCTTACTCTTGGCCGAATCAGTCAGTGTGACCAGCGTGGGTCATGAGACTCCAGAACAGCGGCTTTCCGTCAAGGCGCCGTGGTGACCCTTCGTGGGAAACCGGTTATCAACCGGATGTTCAGCCTTCGTTCAGATTGTTCAGCTCTCCCGATGCTACTTATTCCTCTCTCTCTGATGCTTGCATGTGAGTCTGACATGAGTGCAGGCGCAGTAATGGACGGCTATTGCGGTAACTTCCGTCTAATGAGCAGGTGCTACCTCGCTAGTCTGCCCTCTATTCGATCGCTTCTTTATTCCTCAGGGAATGCAAGGGCATGTGCAACCGACATGAGTGCAGGCGCAGTAAGTTGCGGCTAGTGCAAGGGAATGAGGCTTCCTCCGGGAAGTAAGCAGTTCCAGCACGCAGCTTTGGTTGAGCTTTGCTTGAAAACAAACCACAGTCACAACATCAACACACACTTCGTTGGCGGTCCACGCCTTTTGAAGGAATGAAGACAGGAACACCTGTCTGCCAGTGACCACGGCTGGTCACTTGGCACAACTCATTGTGCAAGACACCACCACAATACAACATGCCACAGTGCTTGCCTTGGTCGCCCCTGTGTGGGGCTGCGTGTGTGTGAACCTCCCTAGCACATGGGAGCAGAGGGTCACTGTTTTGGTATTTTGTCACAACACTGTCAACATGTTGATTTCACATTGGCACAGAACCACAAACACATAAGCATGTTGAGAACTTACAGCAGGGGACCACCGAGGCCTCCGGGGAGCGGTGGTCAACGAAGACCTTCCCGGAAAGCCTGTGAAAACGTACCTGCTTTTTCCACGTTCATTGCATCTGGGGCGGTCGTGCCAGCTGGTGGATGAGGAGTGGAAAAGACGACGAGGACGAGGACAACGACGACGAACTTTTCACATGCATACCACAATCACAACATGTCTCAAGCCTCTTTCCTTGTTCTGCTCTTACTCTTGGCCAAATCAGTCAGTGTGTTGTGTGTGTGTGTGTGTTGTGTGTGTGTGGGTTTGTGTGTGTGTGTGCGTGTGCGCGTGTGTTTGTGTGTGTGTGTGTGTTATGTTTGGACAAGGACAAGGGTTTGGTAAGCGAATAAGCCCAAAAGATGTACACGAAGCTGCTGCAAGACAACCTCACTAGTCGCCACTGACCACCTTCCAGCACTTGCTGCCAATAAGACACCTGTCAGACTCGAGTATCGATCAGGTGTAAAACATACTAGGAATCAGACAATTGCAACAATGGAACTCACATCAAAGTACCTGCGCCCAGGCCCGTCGCGGCGCCCCAGGAGCGCCGCAGCGCATCGACTCGGTTTCTTTGGGGGCCGGCTGCTCAGGGTTTCAGCTTTTGCTTCTGGGTGCATGTCATTTTGCTGTTTTGGGGTTTTGGAGGCTGGCTTTGGATTTGTGATCCTGCCTGGCGAAGTTCATGTCAACCCTGAGCCGTCAACCTTAACATGAGACTTACAGCGACTGCTCCAACAACTGCAAAGAACGCCGTGGACACATTTCAGACCCTCGGACCTCACATGTTCAGAAAATGCGAGTACACTCGAAGCCCTTCCTTCCAGACTGGACTCTCCCCTGCTTGGAAAAGTACGCAGGACAGTCTAACATCATGCAAAGACTAAAACCTGGCGGCTCTCACATCAGTGATCCGCCTGAGCGTCAAGACCCTGAAGCCCTACGCCCGGTTCGGGCTCAGTGGCCCAAGGAGTGTGCTGGAATCCCCTGTGATGCCTTTCGCTTTGCTGAAAGGTCGTGTCGAGGATTTAGCCTCACGCATAAGATCTGGGCCCTCGCCCGACCCGCATAGAAAACCTGAGCAGGATGCGATTTGAATCCAATATCCGGGGTTGAGACTAAGCGCCCGAATGCCCGCCATATCACTCAAAGTCATCGAACACCGCTCTTCGTCAGGGCTCTTCGGCGCGCGGCTCCTCCAACAGGCAGGATCAGCTTTTCCGCGGCTTTAGGTCGGTTGCCAACCGGAGCCCCGAAGCGACATCCTAAACCCCCCAGCGCTTTAACGCAACTTATCCTTTAATTCCATGTCCGGTATTTCTCTACCTCCCTATAAAGCTGCTAGGAGGAGTTGTACCTGCGCCCTAAAGTGTCAGAGGGCACGTCCACCGGCATATAGACCTTGGTTCCGCTGGCCATGTCAAGGAAAAGTTCCCCCCTCTCTCCGAAGGATCCGGCCTTCAACTTTGGTCTTCTTCTCTCATCAAGACTCAGACTCGCTATCAAGTTCAGTCCTTCAGGAGGCTTCGGTCTCCAGCTCAAGATTTCGCAGACCTTCGCCAGTTCTGTCCATCCATCCGCATCTTTGCCGTTTGTAGGGTTACACCTCAAACGATCTTGAACCGCCCAGCTGCCACCTGCCCCTGGTAGTGTAGCAAATTTGAACATCGGTTTGCCGTGCCCAGTTCGCGAGAAAGCTCCAAGGACACGGCCAAGGCCCCCAAGGGCTTTAGGGCAAGTTCGAGGTTGTGGGGCTCAGGAGCAATACTCCACTGCCATCTCAGCTTTCTCGCCTGCGGGCTTCGGCTTTGGGGTTTCAGGGATTCGTCTTGACGATTTTCTGTCTCTAGGCTTGACTTTCGAGCTTCATGTCTTGGTGGCGGCAACCCTGCATGCATCGCACATCTTTGAAACCAGGCTCAACGTACTGCTGCCTTTGTTTACACTGTTGCTCGTTGACCGTCGCTCACTGGTATTGTCGTCGTTGTGCTTTCTGATGATTGGTGCATTTGCTTGCGTGCTATGTATATACGGTTTTGAATGTGGTTGCCGCTGCAGTCGTTAGCTGTAGTTGTCGCCTATTGCTTCCAGGCTGTTGCTGTCGTGGTTCAATGTCGCTGCTGCCGCTGCCTTTTGCTGCTACACATGCCTGCCAGCTTGTTACTACTCTTACTGCTGCCGAAGGTTTGTGCTCCATTCTTTAATGGGATGCTGTTGAGTTCGAGGCCTGCGGGACGTCGTGTCTCGGTCAAAGTGTTGTCGGTCATAAGGCTAACTACAGGCTTTTGAGTTCTCAGGTAGCAGGGCTGGAGACTGTAAGCACTCAATTCAGCAATACGGCCTCAAAGCCGCAAACCCGAAAACCCGCAGACAGGGATGCTTCGAATGAGGTTTTAAGCTTTTGGGGTTGAGGCTCACGGCATTTCATGTGTCAGGCCTTTCGCGAAGAGTGGGTTTACCCGCAGTATGCAGCCTAGCACCGATACTCCCTGAACTTTTACTGTTCGCAGCTTCGCAGCTTTATGCCTACGACTCTTACACTTTTGGCGGAAACTTGCTACGGGCAAGGCGTTGGGGCTCATGGTGGGGGGAGTTAGGATTTTGGTGTCAGGGTCCGTGTCTGGGGTTTCGGATGTTCTTCCAAATCAAAGGAAGGAACTTGGCCTTCAGATGGCAAGCAAAGGCCCCTCGGATTGGGTTTCAAGGCTTGGAGGTTCGGGGTCGCTAAACCCTCTGTCAATCCTACAATGCTAACCTGGAAGGCCAAACCCAAGAGTTGGCCCGGTTTCCCTGTGCTCTCAGGCTGAGGATGCGCCGGCTGCAGGCCAAGACCTGATCCAGCTATATCCAGCTCGCAGTGCTTTCGGATTTGCCTGGTCCCTCATATGTAGGCGGCCCTAAACCCTCAACTGTAAACCAAAACCATCAAAGGGGCAGGGTTGAATGCTGAGGGTGACAGGGCAAGAGCTGCGTCCATGCTGCGAGTCTCAAATAGCAGCAAGCACTGCCCGGACGGCCGATGTAAGAGCATGTAAGTATACGGCCGTAGGCCGCAAAGCCTTTCCAATCTCCAGCACCCGGCGTTTTGAGCATCACCATTCCGAGTTCCAAGTTCCTGGACACGCCTAAAGGAAGAGGTACTCGTTTTCTTCATGTTTGGTCCTACTGGCAGCAGCGGTAAGCTTGGCGCTTGGGGCATTGTGTTTTAGCAGCATCTTGAAACGGTCAGGCGACATAGGAGTATTCACCCGGGCAGTTTCGTAGTCTCGCCAGGTGATACTGCGATGATATGACAAGTTAAGAAACATTTCCAAGTTGTAGTGCAAAGATACTACCAATAGAAGAGTTCCCTGCCCCGAATCACCCAGCCTCCAGCGATCCATAGCTGGTCGACGTCGAGACTCTGTATGCAACCACTTATGAACCCCGAACCCGGAACTGACCTCACTGAACACTATCATGGAGTGCACAACTTTCCGGAAACATTCCCTACACTCCAAACGAATCGCCTAGAATGGCCTACAAAATACCTCCGCCTCCGCCTCCGCAGGCCCTGACTTCCTGGATCCACGCTTGGAGCGGACGGACACCCGGGAAAGCAGAGTAAGGCCTTGTCGCTGAGGGCGTTGGGCCGCGTCGGGGGTTGGGGTCTGGCAAGTTTGGGATGTGGGATTCTGAGAGTTCCGGCACCGAATCGCCGATTGCCCGTGTGAGGTGAAGGGCTCGGCACTTAGATTGTACTGGGTTTGGCTTTTGGAGGGGAGTGCGTTGCAGATCTTCGGTTCAAGGGTGTGGACGATGTAGTTGCTCCGTGAATGGCCCAATGAAGGAATATAGCCCGGGAAAGCCAGCTGTGTTAATGTGTGTAGGTCTAGAAAGTTCATCACCCGGCTGAAGCCTAATTCATCAAAAAGCTTCAGCCCTGAAGCTTCTCAGCACGAGCCAATCCGGATTCAAAGATGCGCTTCGGCAGGAAAAGTGAGTTGGCCGGGCTGCATAGGGCTGCCACTGCTCCCACATGAGCCCGACTCGTAACTGTATGCTTCTGCTTGCGTCAGGGAGCCAGGGGGCAAGGTGTCCGCATCTCAGAGTGCCGCTGACACTCATGAGCATGGTGAAGAAGGGAGAATGAACAGCCTACCCTATACGCTGTAAGCCTGAGCTGCAAGTAGGGTCCACTATTTCGGGCCCGTAATTTATGGCACTTGGGACAATATGTCAGCACTCGCAGAGAACAGTTAAATCATGGTGGAGCATCATGCCTATAAGTAGCCCTTGACCCAACAGAGTTTATCTGTGTCTGCAATGGTGGGACACAGACAGCCCACGCCGCAAGCATTACATGTTGATCAAGAAGTTATATGAACTCACTACGGTTTGCCGTGCACCTGGAGCTCTGAAAAAAGCCCGCCACTTGGCAACCACAAGCCCTAACCATAATGAGGTTGAGCTCCCCGAGTGGGCTCTCGCTCTCGCTCAAAGCCCGAAGCGGGCCTCCCGGAGTTTCGGATGGCCTAATGTAGGGTGGTGGTATCGCATGGGGGGTGGGAGTTTGGAATTAAGTTTTTGTTGCGGGGTTTGTTTGATGGGTTGAGCTCCGGGCCTTTAACAGACTCATCTTCGTAGATGTGTCAACTAAGCGGCCATGGAGACAGCACGAGCAAACACCCTGCCGCCCCTCAACTGACTTAATCACTATGCTGTGGCAAATCATGGACCAGAAACGACGAACTCTGAGAAACTCAAAACTGTAGGCTCTAGGCATACCTTACTATCCAAAAAATCACAGCCCGAAACCTAATCTTTTCTACAGTAGACATCCGGGACATTCTATACAAGATTGTTCGTGCAAGCCACTAGGTCCTCCATGTGCAAGAAGGTTCTGAAATCTCTGCAATCAATATTACAGCGTGGCGCTGGGTGAAGCTTGAAGAGTGATTTGGCGGGTACGCGGGCAAAGTGACAGAACGCCGAGAGGGATGTATGAAGCCCTTCAGCATCAGCTGCAGGTGTTAGATCCACTTTTTCCAGAACCCAGTCCAAAGCCTACATGCGCATTGTATTTTGTTCGCCGGAGAGGCGGTTGGGAACATTCAACATTTCATTTTCAAACTCTTGAGGCAGTCCTCGTGCGAGCCGCAAAAGTAGCCTCGCCAGTGCCAGCAAGGCAGGGCATCGACCTGCAGATATGCCTTCATGCATCATGGTTCATCGCCTGTCCCTGGTTTGGTGTGAGATGGGAATTCGCGGTTGTAGCTGGTGCGGGCGCTGGCGGTGGCGGTGGTTGTCAGTGGCGGCCGCTGAACGTCCCGGTGTTTGGTTTCACATTTTCGCCAGGTCCTCATATGCATGATGCTCTTGTTTTGTACTTGGCAGCTACCGCATCAAATTGTGTGGTTAGCCGAAACGGCAAAACCTATACCGCCTATACCTGTTACTGCCATGGCATGCCCAAGTCTGCGGCCGCCAAACCATATAGCCTGATTGAGCCCACAAAATCTCGCATCCTGCAACACTAGACTCTTCAAGGCCAAAGCCTTCGTGGAATTCTGAAGTGCAAGGGTGCGTGCTTAGTTGGAGCTCAAGCCCACAGCCTACAAGCCCAACCACTAAGGCCTGAATCATCAATTCTCGACCCCCGGTAGCATTGACGACTGAACCCCTTCAGCCTCGAAGGCTGGCTCCGACTCCGATGAAGGCCTCCAGGGTAAGGGTTGCTGTGTCAGGGACGCGTAGGGCACGTTTGCCCAGAAGTGTTTGGGGCTGACGGTTTGGTGAAGTCACTTCCGGGCGTTACTACCTGTACGCAGTCACTGTAGGACACTGCTGACGGGCGGCAGGCACGATGAATTGGTTCCTTCGAGAAGACTTAGTGCTGTATGGACGCCACGAGAAACTGTCGCGGTGTGATTTGGCAGTCAGGGCTTTGCATGATGGATTCGGGAGGTCGAAGCATGGACGTCGTACTTTCGAGCTCGACGGAAAGCCTTTTCATAAGGGTGCGTGTCAGTCATGCCAAGCCAAGCCAGAAAATGTTTGTTTGCTCGATTCACTCCCATATCGAAACTAAGAGCTCCAGAGTTCGACCTCCCGAAGCCCTTCAAAACCGTAACTGCAATAGCACATTGTAACAGTTTCCCATTTTGCATTGCGTCCATACAGTTCCTCTCGGATGCCTAAACTCATCGCGCTTGTCAGCATTTCCCCAGGTTCTGGGCATGATTACACTCATCGTCATCGTGATTCGAGTCTCTACAATACCTGGACGTCATTCCCCACCTCCACGCCTGCACCCGAAACCAACAGAAGAATCCTGGACAAACGTGCCTAGCGTGGTCAGGGTGTAGAATGTCTAGGGTACGTGCTTAGTTCATTGATTCAGGATTGAGGGTGTTTTGCTCTACGATTGTCGGCTTTAAAGTTGCAGGGGGTTCAGGGTTTACTGTCGAGCATCTCCTGCTTGCATTCAGAGCCGTTTTTGCTGCTCCGCCTCTTCCTGATCTGCCGCTGATGCTAGCTTCTTCGGTGCTGCTGCGGCTCATCCCAACTGCCACTGCAACTGCCACTACTAGTACCAGCACCACTTCCACTACCACTCACCACTTACCAACACTGGCAGCACTACCACTACCATAGCACTACCACTATCGCCATCACTGTCACTACCACCATCACACCACTGCTGCTGTTCCTGCTACTGCTACTGCTGCTACTTCTACTGCTGCCACCTACTACTACGACCACCAGTACTACTGCTACTACTACTACTACTACTACTGCTACTACTACTACTACTACTACTACTACTACTACTACTACTGCCAGACGGCAGTGGCAATATTAAAAGTTATCGCTGGCGCTGGTACGAATCCATGTCGAGAGGAATAGTTCATGAGCAAATCCAGCAATCGAGAGGAATATTTCACGAGCGGATGCAGCTTCTGGTTTGGAGAGTTCTTGCACACTGCGCTGGGTGTGTTTCAAGCGCCAAAAAAAGCGGTGCCCAAGTGCTCAGTTGTTTGCCTCATCCGTTGTCTCCAACTGGAGGCTCTCCTTCACAGGGCGGTTCCAGTGCCCCCTCCCCGACGCCTTCACGTGGCAGCGGGATGCTTGGTCGGCAGTCACGAAGCATCGAGTTCAGCTCGTGTTGCTTGCGTCAGAGAGAGATCGTCCTGTTGCTGCCAAGCGGTCGCCATGACGAGTTTAGGCTTAGACAAGTATTGTTTTTCAAGCTCGACTCCCGTTCTCAGATTATGCAGGCTCGATGCAAGCTGTTCATTTTCCTGCCGCTAGCCTTAAAGCTCTAAGCTGCAGCCAGACATTGGCAGACAGACATTAAGCCTGAGAGAAAGCCTGAAGATGTGAACGTGAGCGTGATCCTGTTCTGGCTGCGACTGATGTCATTCATCAGTGAGTCATCAGTGCTTCTCCGCTGTTTGCCCTGCTAGCTGCCCTAGGATCGGAGGTGTTTGGCAATGGACTCCAGCATCCCTGCATGTTACAGGGCACGAGGCCACACCCTGTGCCCCAGGCCCTCGATCTGAAAGGGGATGCATCATGGAGGTCTTGAGGCATCCTGCCATTTTTGGCTCCGATAAGCATTTGCTGGATTGATAACCATTACGCACAGCGACAACAGTCTAAACAGGTCAGTGATGCTAGCAGTAGCAGCGCGGATGCGATTTCCTCTGACCCGAAACTGAAGACATGACCAAGAGCGGTGCCTTCCAACTTGCGGCTTTTAAGTCTTTGAGTAGATCGAAGCTCTATTTACTGCCAACCGCAACAACTTCAGGCCATCCGATGACATGTCTCAGTTTTCGAAAAGTTCTTAAAGAGGGACGGAACATCAAGCTAAACATCACCCCTGTCATTGTTCGCTTTGGCGATGGTCGAAGAATCTGGAGGTGAGTCGCCGAAACATGCACCCTTTGAGTCCGAAGGGCTCCAAAGCTCAACATCTTCAAAGGTCCTGAGCTCCCAAACCGAAATTGTGAACCTGGGACCTTAAAGAGGCAACAAACGCCCGTGTAGAGCTGTCGAGGCCCGAGCCCAGCATCTGGGCGCTCCCCGAGAAAGCGAGGCCGCTCATTCGCTGTCTTTCGAAAACAAGTCGAGGCTTTCCACAGGTTCCGCTGCGTGGCCACCATTCTCACTTCTTGCTTGCGCTGCTTCTCACATCTAGAAACCTTAAAACCATCAAATCCCTAAAAAAGAAGTCTACACTGCTGAAGCGGGCCCCAAATGTCGAACAACAACGAGTCTTGGAGAAGTGCTGCTGTTGCTGTCTGGAGGCTTTAGGGGTTCTGTTTTCGTGGATGCTTGGTTAGGCAGTCCTGACACTGTGTTCGTTTTCCCCACAATCGGCACGATTCGTGAAGCCAAGATCCTGAAAAAGAGGACTTGCAAAGTCATTACGGGTTTAGGCCCAAGCTTGACGGGTTCTGCTTTTACAGGTTTGGGTTTTGGGCTTCAAGTTGAGGTCCGCGCGTCAAAGTGACATTCGGCAGCCATTATAAAAATCCTGGTCCTGAATCTCAATCCTCTGTGCCGCAACAGCTTGCTTGCAGGTCCTTATGCATCGGGTTTGGGGTGTTTCGCAGGCTTGGGGTGTATAGAGAGACGAGGGAAACAGAAGAACTGCCTTCAACGCTTTCGAGTTGAAGAGCAATCCCTGGACCTGTCTTATTCTCACTCCTCACCCGGCCGCGTCAGGCACGCAGGTCGGTCGCAAAAAGCAGCCGCAGGCAGACGGAACCTTCCGGAGTGTCTGCAGTCAACGTACTGTCTTCATGGCGGACACTTACAAGCTGGTGCATGCTCCTGCTGGAATGTTGCTATTGTTTTGTCAGTCCAGTGCGGCTATCTATTTATAAGATTACGCCAACACTGTGAAATGGTCGTAGCCGGACGCTTGCGAGGGTCCTCACGCGAAGGCTCGCACACGCCTCATACATTGTAGGATTGAAAGACTAGACTACACTATGTGGTAGAAGCGTTCAGGGGTGTCTGAGGGCGGGCTACATGAATCGAACAGGCAGGTGCTACTTGTTTGTCAGATTCTCTAGTCCTTTTCGAGCGGATTGCTACCTGTTTGTACGATTCTGTATTCCTTTTCGAGCGGTTTGCTACCTGTTGGTCAGATTCTCTAGCCCCTTTCAAGCCGTTTGCTGCTTGTTTTGTCAGATTTTCTAGTCCCTTTGGAGCTGTTTGTTAACTGTTTGTCAGATTCTCTAGTCCCTTTCGAGCGAGTTTTTTCGCGCGGTTTGCGACCTGTTTGTCAGACCCTACCTGTTTGTTTGATTCTATAGTCCCTTTCGAGCGGTTTGCTACCTTTTTGTCAGATTCTCTGGGCAACCTGTTTGTCAGATTCTCTAGTCCTTTTCGAGCCGTTTGCCACCTGTTTGTCAGATTCTCTAGTCCCTTGCGACAAGTTTGCTACCTGTTTGTCAGATTCTCTAGTCCCTTGCGAGCCGTATTTGTCAGATTCTCGAGTCGCTCGCGAGCGGTTTGCTACCTGTTTGTCAGTTTCTGTAGTCCCTTTCCAAGCGGTTAGCTTCCTGTTTGTGAGATTCTCTAGTGTTTTTCGAGCGGTTTACTACCAGTTTACTGTTAGTGGCGGTGGGCCTTTTGGGGGCGGGGTGGGCATGCATTGGACTACTGCTACTTCTACGACTTCTACTTCTGCTGCTACTACTACTACTATTGCAGCACAAATAAAAGACTGCTTCTGCGCGGTCTGCCAGAGAAGGGAAAGATTCGGGTCTGCAGAAAGCCGCAAGGTGGCAGAGGCTGAGCGGCGGGCAGAAACGAGTTGAGCTGAGTCGAGCATGCTCTTGGTGGGCGGTGGGCATTTTGAAGGGGTTGGCCATGCACGGTCTGCAAGGGAGTCCATGTGCGTCATAAGTCGGTCCAATTTATTTATGCAAGCCGCCAAGAACAAATACTTTGACTCTGGATTCTGGATGGTTCTATGAGGAACAAACGACCAACTTCGAGCAGCACAAGAGCAGGGCAGTAGGCAAATCAGCATGCAATGCGCAACTTCGAAAATCCTGGGTGAGGATAGACGGAGCTCGGGGGGGACAAAAACCGAGCTAGGGAACACAGCTTCTGGGCACACTCTACAATGCCTCCACAGCCTTGAGACTTTTGGAGTGTGTGTTTGCGGACGTTGGATCTTCTGTGCTTCAGATCGGGCAGTGGCCGTCGCTTCGAACCCTGGGATCCGCAGACTTGGGAACTCTTTCAGGGTCCGACGCCCCAAGCTCTTCACGGCTCTCGTGCAGGACAGAACTACCAGAACGAACTGTATGTAGAGCCTCAGCAATCGGTGCCTCGTATTGAGGGTTTGGCTCGGGAGAGGCCAAGAAGCGCTCCGCCAAGCGTGCAGCAACCGCTGCTCCGCGATTGACAGGCCTGTCTGCACTGGGTCGAAGGCTGACAGTAAGCACGAGATCGCGGATCCTGATGCCACTCCGTGCTCGCGTGATGCTGCAGAGTACCATGGCACGGCAGAGTTGCAAGTGGGTGATCGAGCCTATATATAGCCCTGTTTTCCAGAGCCCTTACCCCCAATTCTTACTTGGCGCGGCACTTGTCTGCGGTGCCGTGTTACGGTGGAGGCAAAAGCACGCGGGATTTTGTCGACGACGATGAGGAGGAGGTTACGGCATACCAGTACTGAGCAACGACAATGTTCAACACCATGGGTGTGATGGTCTCGAGATTACATCTTCGGCTGCAGTCATAAGCCGAACCTCGAACCTCAACGGATCCTTGGTAAGTATTCGTGTGGGGCTTCTGAATTTTGGTCCAGTTAAGGGTCTCCTGCAGCTGGGGGAGTGCCTAAAAACCCTGCATGCCTGAATGTCTGGCGCTAGCGGCCACACTTTTGAACATTAAAACGCTACAAACACTTTGAATCCCCAGAGCCGAATACGAGCCCAAAGCCCCCCGGTAGCTTGGAAATATAGATGGCGCCATATGCCAATAAACTCTAAGCCGTCCGACCAGGGTCACCTTTACCAACTCTTGGAAAGCAGGAGGTTTGTCTTTTCATCGGAACAGAGATGTGTGTTAAGGCACTTCGTCCCTAAAACTATATCATAGAATACTTCCACATCTCGGCTCCTTAACATCAACACCACCTCATCATCACGATCACTATGCAGGCAACTTGTTCAGTACTTCGCGAAACGTGACAAACTTGTTACTGAATCATCTTGACTGCAGGACAAGCCCATTTGGACACCATTCCGTGACCTTCGAGTCCAAATCACCCAACAGCACAGGATCATTCGGGATTTTGTCAATCGTTGAAGGGGCCGGCTAGCTACATGAACACAGGTAAATTAGTGGATAGATCAGTTGATAGATAGATGGACAGATAGATATATCGACAGATGCAATGAGTAGCAACAATAGCCAAAACGTAGGTGGACAGGTAGGTAGGTTAGTAGGCAGGTAGAAAAAGGAGATGGACAGTTACGAGCCACACCATCCAACGCCGCTGTGCGACACTTGAATTCGCTGACGGGAGTCTACCAAACATTTGACCACCAGTCCTTGGTAATCCATAGCCCAGCTCACTGCTCTTCCAGCAAGAAACGACATTGCAGGATGACGCGCCAGACGACGACCTGCTGTCCCGTCGAGCGAGCAGCTGCCTCGGCACGGTTTTCAGTTTGGATCCGGGCGGCAACCATAGCCTCGGACGTGGCAAACCGGGCCATTGCGTTCATGGCCAGCGTGAGCCTTACTTGTGTAAATTACAATTTGTGCCAAGCCTTGAAATCCTTGACCGTAGCCTCGCTGCAGGATGGCATTGAAGGTTGCATATCTACTGAGATGGTGGCTTTTAACCTTTATTGATCTCAGGCAAACTCAACACAGAGATGTTGACCACGCAACATAGACTTGCGAGTCATGCTCTAGTTGTTCTTCTCAAGCTGGCATGTGTGAAGCATACCCCTATACATCGTAGAAGAAAACTTGGGCCTTCAGGACCGTAAACCATGGACCCGAGCTCATCGCCCAGGCATGCAATCCGTGGGCCAGCACGACCCTGAGCTTTTGGTCCTGGCAGTGATGATCACACTGATTGTGTTCAGATGATGTTGATGACAACATGGATTGTCAGCTGACGCTGCTGATGACGATTTGATGTTGTGGTAATAGAGGATGCAGCGGTGTTCACGATAGGTCTGATGATAACCATGATCACGAGGATGATGTTGATGATGGTGATGATAATATTCATGTTGGTGATGATGATGTTAATGATCATGTTGATGATGATGATGATGTTGCTGGTGTGATGACGATGATGATGCTGATGATGCTGCTGATGATGATGGTGATGGTGGTGGTGGCGGCTTTGGTTGCGTTGCCGATGGCAGCGGGAATGGCATTACCACAGTGACGACAATTTTCGCCTGACGAACCTTCGAAACCGAGAGTTCCCAGCGATGCCCGAGTTCCCAAGGCCTTGAAAATGGCGCACGACAAACACAAACCGTACTCAATCCCAGCACGGAATCCCAACCGACTTTATGCATCTTTATGCATTCTTGTATATGTGTGTATGTATATATGTATGTTTAGAGTTTAGAGATACACACGTACATCCACACACGTACTCACACGGCTACACATAGCCATGCATATGAATCTACATAAATGCGAATCACATATACGTGTACAGTCGGTACAAACGTCCGCATATGCGTCTACCTATAGATACGTCTGAGGCACGTAGCTCAGGTCGAGAATGCTGTGAGGATTCCTTGTGTGTGGTGTGGCTCTCTGAACCTGTTTCCATTTCCATCGAATGTGCTCAAACCCTAGAATCCCGATCCAGCATTATAGGCACTCTAAGCCTGCGCCCCAAAGCCCGGAATCAGAATCAGCTTTGGGGCACCAGTGCGGGATACGGGTGGGTTTACAGTGCTGAAGGCTCATAGGCGTCAAAAGGTTCGCCTTCCGTGAAGGACCCTTATTCAATCCCTGAATTCCCGTTTTCCGTGCCCGGCAGAGGCATTACACTGCATGGCTTTTGCTCTACAATTAGCCTCTGACGTGCGGGCGGAGTTCTGGGTTGACACGGTGCTTCCAGGAGCAGTGCCGACCCCAACTCGCAGGAGGCTATTCATGCAGCCGGATAACTTTTTCGGTGCTGTTCGAGTGGTTGGCCAAGAGGTTCAGACAGATGCGGATGTCTGCGGTTTTGTGCTGTCACTCCAAAGCTGCACTCCACTGTCACAGGGCCTTTCGGAGCAGTTGAAGCGCTTCTTGAAGATGGACAAAGACTCACAGCGCCTCGAGGAGAAGGCAGCTCTCGCTGAAGAAGGGCGACTGCGGGGGCTTGTGGCGGTTAACGTGCTTGCAGTCAATAGTCACGGGCCTGCGATGATCCTTGACATGAAATCCTGGCAGGTTCGTGAGGGTGCAGAGAGGCTAACTTATGCTCGTGCTGAACTCGTCGGTGGCAGCCTCATGAAAAGCTGGGCTTAAATTGCGTTTCTGGATTTATGTCTCGAGTTTGTGAGCACTCATGTGGGTTGTTTGTTGATGCTCTTGAGCCCAATGCCATGCGGTGTTGGAATGACATCCAAACCCCCGAAGCTTGGGAGTTCAGGAGTTAGGCTGCAGATGCCTTGAAGTTAGGGATTTCGATGGACGTCGGGATTGACTGCAGATTGTGAGCAATCCGGCTGTAATTGGAGTAGACAGCAGACGCAGCAAAAGATTAACCTGCCTATAGAGTACAATGTAGAAAGTTTGTCGCATGGTGACCGCCCTGATAGCCTATGAGCCAATGCATGCAAAGCAAGCGAAGTCCCATTAATTTCCGTTTTGCTGCTTACTTGGTCCTCACAATCCCGACCGGCTCGAAGGGGGCGGCTCACCATTCAGCTGGCAAGAACTGATACCTTGAATCCAGAAGCCGCGCACACCAAGGACTATCATAGGCCTTGCGGAAGTTCTTGTTAAGCCTCTTCTGCCCGTGTGATGCACCTTCTGAGGCGATAGCTCCTCTCCCTTGGACTTGAGCAGGCAATGTGTGGGACGGTTTGGGTCCATGTGGGCCACGTTGCTCTCGGGTATAGGCTCCAAGCGATGAAGAACCACACCCCAGACTCCAAGTCGGATTAGTTGGCACTTTAACGTCGGATTGAGCTAAGTCGCACGTTTCTGCGACATGGAGATCTTAGCCCTTCAGCGTGAGGGAATGTTCGCGCATTCTTGCCTTTGGTTCAGCAACTCAACCAGAGTTACGACTCATGCAGGCTCCATTGATTCGGATGTGGCGTGATGGCAGGGGCAATACAGCATACACGCGCGAATTCGTTCGCACGTCAAGGCAGGGTACAAGCCACATCCGTAAAGACCAGCGCATAAGCATTCCGAACGAAGCAGGCGGAATCTTAACCAGCATGCCCACAACCTCAGGCCGTGATAATTGCTCTGAAGAATGTATCTTCTGTTGAAGTTTTGTGAACAATCCAGTGCAGCCATGCACGAACCCTAAACACTGCACGTATAGTACTTCGACCTTAGAACATGGCCGTCAGCTTCCCTTGGCTAAATCCGGAGTCCTGACATCCTCAATGTTGGTTTGGAAATTCTATTCCAAAGTTCTTAACAGAATGACCAAGAGCTGAGGCTGAAGAACCTCACCGGCGACGAGCGCACGAAGGCTTTAGCCCAGGCGGCCCAGGGGTACAGCGTTTGGAGCTTTGGGCTTCAGGGTGTGGGGTTTAGGGTATGTGTGCATGGTGTCGATGTACGCGTCAGCTGCTGAGGAGGTTTGTCTTCGTGCATATCGTTTGAGATTCAGGGCTTCGGGTGTGAGACAGAGGGCTCTGAGATGCAGAATCGTAGAAATGATGATGATGATGCAGCCTGACATAGCGCTAGTGGTGCTATTCTGTCAAAATCCGGACTTTCATCATAAGAAAGACATAGTGCTGGGACTGGGACTACTCAGCAGATCTGAGCAGTAACCCCGAAGGCCGAAGCGGCCCTAGCAACAATAGATTCTTCCTGACCCGATAATGAATACAACTGGAAAGAAACCGAGGGACATGCATAAAGAAGGCAGCTGCAATCTGAGTGACGGGATCGTCGTGAGCCTCCGCAGCACGTGTGCTCCTAAGAATATGGGCTTTGTGATCTTGGTTTCCATGTTGTACATTCGCAATAAGGGCCAATGGAACCAGCTCCAACGGTAAGCGAACGCCCAGAACGTTCCTCCCGAAAATATTCATAATCTTGCAACCGCTCAGGGGATTTGGTTTTTTGCATTGGACCAACACGTAAAAGACTGACAGAGTCGTAACCCACGTCCTCGCAGGACTCACTGTCAGACCTCCGCCAGAAGTGGCAGACGATCCTCGATAGGTCAGCTTCTCCGTTTGCAAAGACCTACATGGCTTCATCACTTGGTTCTTCGTGGTGAGTGCTTCGGGCCGTTGGATACAAGCCTTGTACTTGTAGCGTGTTCTGGGTGTTTTGATTCTCAAAGTCCGTCCTCTCTTATACATGCGATTGTGCACTTGTTAATTAAGCCCTCGGCTAAGCAGGAGTTAAGGCATCAGCCGGTTTGGGAGAGCACCTGGGTTCTAACGACTGTCACCAGTCCAGGGCGATCGGTGCTTACTAGAATGGCAAAAACTGGGTTGGATTTTGGGACATGTTTTTTATTTTTCTTATTTGTGTTTATAAGGGACCCTATATATAAACATTTTTCAGGGTGTTTAAAGACCAACCCAGAAAAGAACCCTGCCAGGCCATCGCTCCACTATCACTAACATATGGGTGGTTGTCAAAATCATGGTCCCTTCTTTGGTCCCTATTATAGTACGGCACCTAATATTTAGGGTACCCAAAAAGGGGCCCTCATTTTGACAACCACCCATATATTATCAATGGCGAAATGTGTCTTAGTATCTTTCGCATAGGGTGCAAGTAATGGTTAGAAACATAAATATTGTGGCAATCGGGTTGTAGGTGCAACAATTGATAGATGAGTTGGGCTTGCAGTATTGTGTAAACTTGATCCCTGACAGGGTACGGCCAAGATACTATTTATAAGCCTGTTTATCGGGCGAAGGAGGACGAGGGTTCTCCTTGTGGTTATGAGGCTGATTTTTCTGGTATCGTGATAATTTGGATGACTTTCAGTGTTTATAAAGTTTATCCATGGTCCATGGCACTGTTACACTGGGAGTTTAACGCCGCATGTGCCTCAGGCGCACGACGCTGGAAGCGGAGCACAGACCTGAGCTGACCGTCTATACGAGTAAGGATTCCTCAAAACTCGGGGTCTCGTCGTGGCCGTCCTTATGTTTGGGCTCCTGCGGCTCTTACCGTCTTTACGAGTCCCATATATGGCTACAGGCTTGAACATGTCTGGAGTCTAGACAGGATTGTGACTACTGAGAACAGCAAGGCCAAGAGCAACAGAACGGCAACGGTAGCCGTGGACAACATCAGCAGCAGCACCGGTATGGCAGCAGAATAAGCTAAATGAATATAGCGATGGTCCAGTAAAACTCAACTAGGCGCAAACATCACAGATGCAAATCTGCAAAGGTCATGGACGTCCTTGACTGTTGCAATCTATGCACACATCAGTCTATCTGCCTGCCTGTGCAAGTAGCTGCGCATGACGATGGATTGCATTGAAGTTTCGGAAAGGACCCGATGCAGAGCCATTGCAGTAGTACCACATTGCTTCTCGCAATCCCGACTCCCAGATGCTCTCTCTTTACCAGGCTCCCCGCCGCAGCAGCCGTGCGCCAAGCTGGACATCGCAGGCGAAAGGGCCCTGAGTCACTAAGGATGCTCAGCATGCGAGTTCGCGGTTTACATCGTAGTACGTGTAATGAAAGATCGAGATGTAAATGATGCCACTGAACGAGCTCACAAGTGTCTCGAAGTGCTGGGAGAACCTAGTCTTACCCTCGAATGCACGTCAGCTCACAGTTCACTTTTTTCTCAGCCAAAAAGCAGCCTGGACGGTACCAGCTCATGCGTGTCATCTGTGCGCAGGGGCTGTTGATCGCACGCACTCCCCCTTCGCACTTCCCTACACAGGAAGGGCGAATCCGAAGTGTTTAAAGGAAAAGGAGTCTCAGTAGACCCAGTGCCCAGCCCCACCTGTATCACGCGACGGTCGCGTCTGACTACTTCCAAGGACAAAAACTGATCCGACTCGATTCCGAACGCCTGAGTCTTTCAGGCCTCCTCACTTCGGAGGAAGTCCGACTAAGAGTCACCAGCATCCCTGGCCCGTGTTAACGACAAAAGAAAACTGCTTGGACAAGGGAAATAGAGAGATCCACCAAGCCTCCTTGATCACAGTCTCAGACCTAAAGCCATCCGACCTTTCTAAAAACCTACCCTAGTGGTAGAGGAGGGTTGGACCTATCCCTATTCCCCAATTCGCTGCTACATCTTAACCGGCTGAGGTACATCTGTTCGGCTGCGTACAATCGCCACTCGATCGGCTAGCCCGAAGAAGTGCTCTCGGACACTCCACCATCCTCAACCTTACGGAGATAGTCCCCAACCAACCAATGGAACTGGTCTTGCACTGATTCGGGGTAGCTCTCGAGATCTACGGGAATGCCCCCTTTCCACAAACAAAACAGAATTCGTCCTCGATGTGGAACCGTCTCTGGCAGCGGCAGCAGCCCGAATCGTGATCCACCCGTCTGGCATCCAATCGATCTTCGGTGGCCCCTTCGGGACCTCAAGCAACGCCACAGTCCCTTTGAGATTTCCCAAGCTCCGATGGTAGTCAACACGCACCAACACAGCTCTAGAACTACGCCTTCACAGCGCATGGTGCGGGGACAGACTTCCCACTCTCCAGCTTCAGGGCAAACCTGACCTTCATCCCCTAGGCCAACAACTCTCGAGGGGTCCCACAATGCTACGCCACGAGACTCCTTGGGCTCCCCCCGAACAGCCCCTATAAAGACCCATAGAATGACAAGGAACCTTAGCCAGGAGCTCAACGCCCGAAGAAAGAGAATCCCGGCCTCTAACAGACCACCGACTACCCCAAGGTCACTAGACCCCTGAGAGGCACCGGAATCCCCTAGGGCCCCTCTTAACTCAAGAGCCTCGCGCCAATCAGACCAATCCCCGGTTTCTAATCCTCGAACAATAGCCTCAACATCCTCACAGCTCCACCCCTCAAGTGGTACTGTGAAAGTGTCATCTACATAGTGAACAATTAGACACTCTGGCCCGGCTTCGTACAAAGTCACAGGGAGGCCACGTGCGGCCGGTTCAACAGGCTCACTCAGTTCTTCCAGAAACACCTCACGGTCGCCTAAAGTCTCTGCAGAACTCACCGATTGAACCGATGGTTCAGTGGTAGACTGGTCTTCACCGGACGACGAGCTATCACTACCTAACAACTCATCAGCTACAAGCCCATACAACTGAACCTGAATCTGCGCAGGATTTACAGGCCACAAAGGCTGCTCGTCTACCGCTGAATCATCATCAATGTCGCTATCCTCTTCTGGCCCGGCTTCTGGAATGGGATCAATAGGATCCCCAAAAGGGAACTCTCGAACACCTCGCTGCACATATGCCTCTGCGGCATCTCGCACTTGCTCGCCGTGAGCAACAAAGAGTGGACCAGTAGCTCTCAACCACATAATCATGGCATACAACGAGTGTTCCCGAAACCCCCGCGCTACCTGCCGGATACCACGAATCTCCCGCACCCGAGTCCCTAGGCAGGCTAGAAGTTCATACCCAATTATCGAAAACACTCGCCAAAGATAATGAGCATAGACACCTGGGGCCCATAGCACATACGGAAACTGCTCTCCGACAGGAATCACAGCTTGGGAAGTCTCCGGCTCTCCCGCAGATACACCTGGACCATGTAGTAGGAATCCCTCTACTTCCGCTAGCCATTGGGGCCCACTATACCTCGGAGCCTCAGGCCCTTGACGAAGATAATCTGCGAGAGCTCCATACAACCCGAATCGTACAGCACTCGACGCCGCTCGAACAGCCAGCCAATCACGGGATCGAGTACCCAGGAGACTCAGCAGCACTTCCCCAACACTCGAGAAGAGCTGCAACATAAAATGTACTCGGAGCCATGTTCCTACCAGTGGCCACGCTTCTAACGAACCTTCCAGGGGCAGGTAATCTTCGTAGTACACATCCGCTGGCTCCGGCGGTGGAACTGGCATTCCATGAGATGAAGAGCTGCCCCCAATCTGAACCCTAGGAGTAGGCACTTCAGAAGCGATCGACCCAGCACGTTGCGCAATTGGACCACTGGAACTCCCCCTAGCCTGAGCACTCGACTCTGACGAAACTGGAACCTCTGGACTCCCCCTAGCCTGAGCACTCGACTCTGAAGGAACTGGAACCTCGGAACTCTCGCCACCGGGGGCCCTAAACCGAATCGGAACCCACTGAAGCCTATTTCCAACCTGCACCGGCCGAACTTCTACTTCCCACTCCCGTTCCTCAAAGTCTTGATGGGCAACCCCGGTATCCTGAATCCCTCTTACAAGGCTCAAGACCGCATTGGATCTCAATCGCCGACAAGTCTCACTCAAACTAGACCAGACCCTTGCTTGTACTCCCAAAAGGGCTACCAACAGATCTCCCTGTGTAATCAGTAGACCTACGAGAACCTCTTCAGTGATAGCTGGCTCGACATGAGCAGGGTTGGGATTAGCGTTACTATCGCTAGGCCCAGCATACCAATCCGGCAGAGGACCGTACCGCTGCAGCATATGAGGAGGATCCACCTCCCCACCTTGAAGCAACTGACGGCGTAATCTAGACCTCTGTACAAACGTGAGACCTGTGAACCGCTCTTGTTCCTCTAATTTCTGCTGCGCTACGCGCCACTGTTCCTCATCAAACTCCGAAGACTCGCTGGAAGCAACCTCACTGGCTACATCGTCGTGCATGTCCCCAACTGGCGGAGGAGCGATTGCAGACCCTTCGGACATAAAACCCGAACCACTCGAATAGTCCCTAGCTACCACCTCCGCAGTATGATGACTCGCATCAGTCTCCGAAGCTCGTCCCTCTAGGTCCTCTCCCCGAAGTCCGACAAAGTCCGCAGAATCCGCAATAGCTTCAAAACCCTCAAGAAGCCACCAGCCCCAGAGCATCAGCACGACCGTTAACAAAACCCCAACGGTCCAAGCCAACCAACCGAACCCAACATCAAGCTGGTCTTCGACCGGTTGTCCCTTCGCCCGTGGTAGGAGAGCCAACAAGGCCAGACCTGCGACAGATTCCGGTGTGATTAGACCCGCCGGAATGTCCCGGAAATCAAACCTACTCATAAGCCTAGCCGCCTTAACCGAACCATCCTGAAGAGATTGGTCTCGCACGTTCATGAGATCGAGAAGTTGTAGAATGCGTCCTCGGGAAAGCGGTTTCGTGGCAATATCCGCCAGCTGGTAGTCGCCGGGGATGTGGTGGACGGTCAACTGATTCGCAGCGATTTTTTCACGTCCCGAGAGGGCCCTCATCCGAAGGTGGCGGCTCCGCCAGCCCGACGGCGAGCCGTCGAAGGAACGGATGGCTGCGGAGTTGTCCGCGAGAAGGGAAGCTGTTGTGTCACAAACCAACAGTTCATCGATGAGTGGCTGGATACATTCAGTCATCTGGATGGCGTGGGACATGGCCACTAGCTCCGCCTCCGCAGAGCTAAGAGTTACGAAAGATTGTCTGGTGCTCTCCCAAGCCAATGGCGAACCACGCCACATGACCACAAAAGCCTGAACAGAACGCCCCCCGCAGGGCGAGTGCGAGGCGTCAGAGTACACCTCCAGAACCTGATCCCGACGCGGGACCGCAAGAAGGCCATGACCCGAGAAGTAAGGACCACTATCAAAGCAGTACTCAATGCTGTAACGCAAGGTGGAATGCAAATACTGGAGAACCTGGTGCCCAATCGAGATGCTAAGCTGCGGTGCTTTGGTGGCCTGTTGGCCCATCCTTGAAACAGCATATGACACATCAGGCCTTGATCGGGTCGCGACCCATAGGATGGCGCCCGTAATCCCTTGAGCTTCCTTTACCAAGGCTGGATCTGGGGACCCCTCCGGTTCCGGCTCAGACCACTTTGTTAGGGGGACCTGGGAATACGTATCACACCCATACCGCTGCAGCAGCTCCCTGATGTAAGACACCTGAGAGAGACGGTACCCTCTTTCAGTTCGAACAATTTCGGCCCCACAGAAGGTGGTGGGCTCACTCCCAAGCCAATTCGGGTCGGACGTTTTCCACTTACGCTGAACCTGATCAACGAAACACTGACACAGCTCCGGAGTGGAAAAGAAGGCCAGATCATCCACATATACAACCAGCAATCCGGAAATTGCGCCCTTTCCAGCCTCACCTACCGGCTGCACAAGCCACAAAGATTCATCTGACTTCGTCTGAAACAGTCCATATTCGACCCCGCTGCAGCGAATCACAAAGGTACGGAACTCCTTATCCCGGTAATCGCCCCAATCCCTTGGCGACGTAGGTAGACCATACAGCGCCTTTCGAACATGCCACCGATCGTCAGCTTGTAGCACCCCTAACTCAACCAGTAGAGCGGGAGGCTTCACAATAATGCGCTCTTCACCATCCTTTGAACGCGTCCCTATCGGAGCATAGAGAAACGCAGATTTAATATCGATAGTGATCCCGGTCCAAAGCGGATGAATGGAGGCAAACCCTAGAGCAATCCGTAAGGTCAGCGCCTCCGCGCCCGAGGCATACACATCGTCTTTCGTTAGTCCTAACTTCTCGGGAGGGAGAT